CTGCAAAAGAATAGAACAGAAAGAGGGTATTAAGTGAGGAGTGATATCAGATTGCTTCTGGATGGTGTGGTTTTTTGGATCAGTCTTAGGCTCTGATTGTAGTACAGTGAAAAGGGCTACGGTTCTTCATTTTACAGTTGGGGTGAATAGGAATTGTACTTAGCACTCTGCAGGGCTGAATGCTTCTGAAGCAGTTGAAAATAGGCAAGGCCATCCCTAGAGGGGGGCGATCACCCTGGGCCCCGTGCTTTGGGGGGCCCCGTGGATCCAGGTGGCGTGGTGCAGCAACTCTGTGCTGCCACTGGCTTCATATCTGTCGCCCCCCGCGCCACTGAATCTGCCACTAGCTTCCTTGCGTCTGGGCGCAGGGCCCTGCGCAGGCTGATTTGCCCTGGACCCTGCACCCTGCTCGGATCATCTCTGAAAACAGGCATTTAGGAGTGGCATCCATCAGAATACCCTGAATGGTATTAAGTTCGAGGGTGATGAATGAGTCTTGCCACAGTGTCAGAATGATGTGGTCTGAGGCATCCTCTGGCCTTGCTGGGATAGGGGGGTTAAAGCTTGTCTTTTGGGAAGGTGGATAGAAAGGATTGAGGCTTTTAGAATGTGTATTTAATAGAAGGATAACTGATATGACTTGTTATCTAGGGAGATGGTGGATTCTGTCCCTGAAGTCTCTTTAAAACACAGGTTGGATAGCATTTTAAAAAGATGCTCTAGCTTAAGCAGAGAGTGTTGATGCAAGATTTACTGGCTAATTTTGTTGCCTGTGTTGCGCAGGAGGTCGGTTGTTTTGGGAATGCATTCCCAGGAAATGAATCCCTGGGACCCCTTTTAACCATATGGCTGATAGTGCAGTGTCAACAATGTTGCAGTGGTTGTTGTTCACTAGTGGAGTGCTTGGACAAAACCTTATTGTGTTTGGCATCAGATGGTTTGTGGTAGGGATGAAGAAGACGACAGGCTGCATCTGCTTTGACTAACCAAGGAATTGATAATCTTGTATCTGAAGCACAGGTCAAAAAAAGGGGTAGACATAAAACATAACCCACTTAGGAAGCACAGGGGAGGGAGTCCTGTGCTAAGACGACTAATACTTTGTTATTTGGTCTTCCCTGCCTCTTTGTAGCTTGGGAGCAGAGCTTTGAATTCTCCTGCCTGACTTCTGAAAAACTCTGCAGTAATGCTGCTTTTAGTTCCTTGGCCTGGAGAAGTACAGTATATGTGGAATGATATTTTTATTTACATAGTATACTGGGTTGAACAATGTGGGATGCTTAAGAGGGTACCAGGCTATTATATTACAAAAAACTTACGGATTATTTAAAAAAAAAAAAAAAAAAAAAAAAAAAAAAAAAGTGCCAAGCCAGCTTTTCTCTCTCACCTTCATCATTGTCCTTAAGTGGCATTGCCAGAAAGGGCCTGCCATCTCAAGATAAACCACATGATGATTCATGTTTGTAGCTTTTTGCTTGCAGCCTTGGGGAAGTTGAACTTTGAGGAGTGCTACTACCAGCTTGTGAATTTGTGTCTTCATATATAGTTGTGGGATGTAACTTCCTTGGTGCTGTGTCAGGAAAGACTGCCTATGCAAATTGAAATAAATTACCTTCTACTCAAAATGTTCCTGTGAAGATCAAGTACATGCAGTCCTTGTCTGCCTTCTGGATCATATTCTACTTCACTGGCACATGTCTTGTTCTCATGAGTAATTATCCTGGGATGACAGGTTAACATAGCCTAGTATTATAGAACGTGGCAGCCTAAAATTAAAGTGGCTAGAATCTAGAAGTGGTTGATGGTGGTCGGTGTGTGTGTGTGTGTGTTTCTGTATAAGGATATAGGAAATTCTCCCACCCTGTGAAGGTATACAGACACCGTGCAAAGTGGGAGGGGATTCTCTTGTGCATTTTACTTCTGGCCTAGGCATGGCAGAGCATTTTTGCCAGCCAGATATTCATAATTCCATCAGGTCAGTGCATTTAAAGCTGCACGGAGCCACTGCTGATTCCAGTGCCTACACATACATTCCCTGTTTGTTTTGTAATACATCCAGAGGCCCCCAGCCCTGTTGGCCCAGCCCCAAAAAACATACAACCACCTATTTTCTCTCCTTTTCTAATCTAACCCCAATCTGTAGAATCCTATGCAAGTAGAAAAGCAGACAGATCTTTATTGAGCAGTAAGCTTTTTGGGGAATCCTTTTTCAAAATGAAAAGATGTTTAAGGAGCACTCTAACTAATCCTGCTTTTAAACTGTTTTATGCCCAAGAATTGCTTGCCCTGACAGCTGTAGATTCTTGGCACGTGTGGGTTTTTTGTTTTAAATATTTATGTTGGAAAACGAAATCAAGAGACTTATTTAGTTGGTTTCACTTTCATTTTTCTGGTATTAGCAGCTTTTGGGTGGGGCAAACAACAGGGAATATTTCTTTGTGTGAAAAGCAGTTTGTATTGCCTGTATGTGTTAAATCTAAAAAATTGTGACAGTGTTTTTCATGGTCTAAGGCTTGCTAATGCTCGTTCTGTTGTAACCTGGGCTGGATCCTGTACCTCCTGCCTTTCCAAAGCAGTGAAAATCTGGTTTACGGACCAGTGCTGTAATTCTCATACTAGCCCCAGTTGCTCTCTGCAGCCCCAGCTCTTGCGGCAGCAGAGGGCCTTGTAGCCAGACTGCTGCTGCTGACTGTACTTGGGAGCTAAATTGGCCTGTTGTCCCAATAAAGATGGCATGTATTTAGATTTAGCTCAAAGATCAGAGTTGAAAACTCAAGAAGTTAAATGGGGATTTAGCTCTTTTAAAATGTTTTTAGACACGTTTAGGGAAATGGGTGAAGTTCACTTTTCCAATAACACCTGATACTCAATAATAAACATGCAGTTGTGTCTTGTGAGTGAAACCACCTTTGGGTTTCCATGTAAGATTGTTACTGAGGCAGCTAATATAGCAATAGGAGCTACTGTACTGTAGCAAAAGCAAGACCCGACTGACAAAAAAACACGCATTTTTCAATTTGTATTGCATACATTTCAGTTTGTGCTGTACTGTACAGCCTGATACATCCCTGTGGTCTGTTAACAGTGGTGCTTTGCTGCATTTTGGCCACAACAGTTAGAACACGGAATATACTGAAGGCTTATACAAAGTCTAGCCAAAGAAAGTTGATGTAGCAAATCCAGCCATTGTAGTTAATCCAGTAAGAACACTAGAGTGGTAATCCAGGAAGAACGCTAGAGTGGGTCTGTGCCTCTCTTATAACAGTGCATATGAAGGATTTGATAGAGAGACAGATGAGTGGGTGGTAAAAGTCAGTTGGGTCACAATTGACAGCTGAGCACAGCCAGTTCAGAACTTTCCCCTGGGATTTGTATTCTTCTGAGACCATCTGGCTTAAGAGGAATAAATTAAACAGTTGGGTATTTTGCTGATAAAAGTCTTTCAGACAGGCCTGGTTAATTGCACAAATGCCTTGTTTAATAGGCGTCTATAAAAATACTAATTTAGAGCTCGGCTCCCAGACTTTAATGCAAATGATTTCCTTCTCTGGATACTAGAATACCTGAGCCAACGGAGGGACCCTTGTCCAGGTATCGGTGTATAATGGCAAGTTTGTACAGAGGGGAAAAGAGCTTTTTATCTCTTGGGTCCTTGTATGAATCTGGCTCATGGCATAAGTAACCAGAGCTCATACTGATGTGATGGCTGTGCAGAAGCATATGAGAAATTAGATGCTAAGAATTGATCTGTTCCAAGCAGCCTGAGTCCTCCTTACGCAGACTATTGTGTTTGGTCCATTCATTTAACATTGTGGCAAAGCGGCCAAGGAGTTCAACAGGGAGGCCTGAAGCCACGGAAGTTGTCTCTTCAGGGGCTGCGGTGCCTGGGTTTTCCATAGCACTCGTTCCTCTTTTAACAATTCGTGTCCTAGAATCTTGCCCTAACAGCCTGCATGCAGGTAATCCTGGCTTTCACTCATGGGGAAATCTGCGCAGAAGTCACGTTCCCTCCCTGCTTCCGTGGGAGCTGTTTTCCCAAGTGGAACATCGCTGTGCTGTTGCTTCTCTAATGAAGACCGCAAGAACCAAACACGGCCTTCATGCATCTCTCTCTGCTTTTTAAGGGGTAAAGA